TAAGAAATTACGATATTGAAGGAGTGATAAGGAACTGTAGGAAAAGTGAATACCCCAAAACAGAAGAAGAGATACCACAACTGTTAAGCAGATCGAATTCACGAAAGGCCTAAGAATGTACCAAATCCACAGTCCGACTTTGGAAATTATCTTGTAGACTATGGACTCCAGATAAGATGCGTTCCTCTATATCTTTCTGCTAATATGATTATGTTGTTAAACTAAGGCCAACCAACCCCTATGAAACGAAAGAAAACCGCGGCCATACTCAAGGCCACACCATCCTGGTCTTCGCAACTTTGAATAAGCTTTTTATTTTGCTTAGTAGCATTTATAAAAATTTGCAAAATGAGGATAGGCATACCGATACAATAATTTATTTAACTTTATTTCTCATAGTGGCACCAAATAGAATGGAAATATAAGAGCAAATGTATCCAATATAGCCTTGATTTATTCGCTCATTCTTATGATATCTTTAAACTTAATTTATACATGCATTTCACATTGAACAGCATATAAACAACCACTTCATAAATAACATTATTCCTTCAGTTATTTTGCTTTCTTTTTATGCTTCTTAGACTTCATTTTATGTTTAAAATATTTTTGAGCAACCTCTTCCTCCTTAGGCAGTTTTTTCTTATTTTATAGGACATTCATTTGTTAACACTTCTTATTATAATATTTTCAAACTGGATAATTTATTTAATAAAAAATAATATATTTTATTTGGAAATAGGGATCAGCCTCCAAGATCTGTTGAAATGGAAATTTTAGTGCAGGAGTTTTTTACTATACTCATCTGTCTTCCGGAGGTATTGTTCTCCTTTCACACCCGGCAGAGGCTCATTACTTTGCCAATTGAGCAGTATTTTCAAAATATCCAAACTCAACCAAGGAAGATAAACTATCATAATATGTTCGAAGCCATTCTTTATCATTATGCTGATGCGAAGTCTATCGAAAACAATAAATCAGAGATTAATTCCGATCAAAAAAAGATTTCCCTAGAAATAATTCAATTTGGAAGAACAGTTTTGCAAAAGTTGAGGGAAATCAGTCCAATATGTGCGAGCCAAACTATTGATGCTGCGATTGCGTTGAGTCGTAAGTGATATTTGGTTATTTGGGAAATCTTAAAGATTAAGTAACGTAAGGCAAAGATAATATGTAATATGGCTTAAATAAGGTTAGACAATTTCATCAAAAATGGCGAAGCTATGTATATCCGTATTTATATATCGTCAAAATGATTAAACTGTAGAATACTAATGGTCTGCTACTTTTTTTGCAGGTCGAATATATTGATTTTATGAGTCTGATTCTAAAATAAATAAGAACGGGTGAATTTATTTTACCGAAATTTTAAATATTTATTAAGCAGTAGAGCAAGCGTCTAACCCTATGCTTAAATATTACAAATTAAACTTCTTATCATAAATGATTTAGGATATCTCATCTATCTTCTATACTTATATTGGAAGGGCCGTTATCTAAGACCGACTTGTAGGATCGAAATACGAAGTAATTAATTAAATTGATTAAATTCGAAAGGTTTGTATAATTTTTCTCACAAGGTGAAATGTGTATTACGATAACCCAGCAACCGAATCTGTGTGTTGTGCAGTCTGGTCAAACAACATAGTCATTATGAATAAAGGCAGCCTAGAAACGCCCGAGTACACCCTTGCCCTTTAGAATATTTCCCCATAAATAGATCTAGTGATCAGAATCAGCAAACCCTATTGATACGAGAAGGTCAAGTCTGAACTTAGCTGAAGTCTAACTCGTAGTCTTTGGAAAATCTTCAACTTAGAAAGAAAATAAAAAAGAGGTAATAGTTATACGCCAAATTAAAGACAGCTGAGCATGGTTAGAGCTTGCCTAAGAAAGTTATAAAAACTATTTGTTTTATGTGATTTTGACTGATTGATTACAGATATATTGATTCTTTTGGGGTTAAAGGGGTATTTTTGAAATGACTTGAATTAATAAAAATACTCAAACTAAAAAGACCTTAGATACAATTAAAGAATGAATTATAAATCTGTTTCTCATTAGCAAACCGAGGTTACATTTGATAAGCTATTCCTAACTACTTGGAGAAAGAGTATAATTAAAGAAGCTAAAAAGGTTGTCGTTTATTTCATTATTGCAAAGCACAGCTCATTTATAATCGCCTAGTTGATCAATAGCTTGTTAAAAATAATTTTAAAAATTAGTAAAATGTGAAATATCTTTCCTGGATTAAATTAAATTAAAATTATACGTATAAAATTTTCTAACGAAATAGGATAGTTCTAAAACTAAATTTATTAGAAATTTTATGTGTCATACATTTTTAGGCTTAGATCAAGCTGGAGAAGAGCCTTGTTGTACCGATGGTCAGATCCTTTATCAAACGATATATATGAAAATAAAGCCAATTATTGAGTCACTATTTTCATGTAAGTCAACTTATGTGAAGCATTTGATTAAGGCTTTTCGTACTGTAAAGTGTGATATGCTACTATTTTAGTCTTTATTGAAGTTACCAAGGTTAAACATATATGATCTTCTCAGTCTATGCCTTCTTTGAATACATTTTTCCCAAACAAATCAGATCACTTATGTCTATTTATTTGATAAAGTAGGGTTTAATAATCCTACCCCCTAAAATAGGATTTCATGGTAGTCAAATTCTATATCAGTAATATGTGGAATATATCTTATTTATCATGGCTGTAAAATGGAAGTTTCAAACGGTTTCATATAGATATGATGCCATAATATTTTTAAAAAAACTTGGGGAAAAATAATTAAGAAAATACTTTTATTAATAGTTAGGTTGGCATGCATGTCATTTCATTTGACTGAAATCTTATTATTAATAGATATCCTACTGTTTTATTCCAAAAATAGCAGTTTTTTTACCATAAACGTGGCACAGATAATTGTATATCTACAAATAGTTGCAAATGTTTATTTGGTTTATATCTAAGCATAGGTACGGCTTTCGAAATTCCCTTATTAAATGACGTAAATACTTTAAGTTTTTCAGTCTAGGTGTAAGATTCGGTTCGACCTTATTTTTGCAACTTAGTCGGAGCGTCAGGGAGACCTTGTGAAACGTATCTAGTCCCGTGTCCTCTGTCATTGGTGATCAACTCATGTATAATGTTGACGACCACTTTATTTATATTCTCTTGATGACCTTGCACGAATCGTTAAAAAGAATAAACTTTATATGAGGCCAATATCGGTTTTATGGCTAAAAAATATTGTTTTCAGCAAGCTCAGATAGTCAGCTATTAATAAGTTATATCTACAATGAATAATCATATTATCTACCAAAATCATGCATTTATAAAATGAAGTTTAAAGATTTCATAAAAAGGCAGTATTTAATAATGCTTATTTATACAGTAAGAGTAGCATATTTGATAATATGATCATATTTTAATCAGACAAGCTGTTCCTTTGCCACATTGGCGCATAGCATTTCTGGTATAACAAATGGATGTATGGATACACTTCTAATGTAAATATATTACTCGAAATAATTTTAGGCTTTTTGAATCCAGATGCTCTCTTATTTGTCTGGGATCAGCTTATGTTCTGCATAGCTGTCCATCGCTACTATGAGCCAAATCAACTGCGCGTTACGACAGAGGCTTACCTAACCTGTGCGGTGGCAATATTTATCTATCTGACGTGGTCCCACCTCTTTAATAGGGCAGAACAAGACCAAATTAATTATGATAATGAAAAATATTCTGTCAATGAAGACCTGCAGAAGTCTCAACACAAGAATGATGCATATAATATGAAAGATAGTGAAGAAGATGCAGCCATTAAACAGCATGACACCGAAATACTCGTGGGAAATTCATTCGGAGTAGAGGATAACAGAAAAATCAAATCTCTAGAGTCCGCTCAAGTTAAATTTGGAGAGCGTGATACCGTGCACAATTCAAGTTCGTTTAAGCCAAAGGATTGGCTGGAAACAAAATGGTTGAAAATAGCTGGACGTAAAATTGATTGGCAAGACATCCAGTACATGGTACCTTATCCGATCGCATTAGTAGCGACTATTTTTTGATTTGTTAAATTGAACGGTTTGGGTTTAGGAAAAAAATATAGTTAGGATAGTAGTAAATTGGATAATAAGGATTAGAACTACAGTTATTGACTTCTAAAAGGTTGCATTTTCTACCTTTTATTAATCATCTTTATAAATTTATGGCAACTATGGAAACGATATTTAAGAGTTTTAAGACTAAATAAGAAAAGGCAGTCTAATTGTTACCATGTATTATTCAACCAATAAAGGTTTTTAAACACTTGTTTGCAAATACTTTTATAAAAGCAAACTCACCTCGCCTGAAGCCGAAATTTTAAATTACGTTAAAAAAAGAGTTGTATTAGGAAGAAAACCATTCTAAGAATACTCCTTACTTCACATAGCTAAGATTTATTCCTATAACTTATATAATTGATTCTGGCAAGGTTGGAAAAGGTATTAACACATTTATAAAGCACTAATATTCCACAATGAAGCTAGTATGATCTATTTAGTTTAATATTTGTATAACATAACACAAAATCAAAATTATTTTACAGAAGGTAAAACACTTAGTCCTATTCCTTTATTGTGCAATTGGTCTTCTTCCTTACCTAACCAAAAAACTTGGTACAATCTTATAGATAATTTCATTCGAATAAAATGAAGTAACATTAATTAAGTGCTCATATCAGCTTTAATGCTAAGAAGTAATTCATTATTAAATGATTTATAGATCGGATCATAAGAATAGCAGATTGTTGGTCGTCATTACATAGTTTCAGCTTCTTTGAACTAAGGGTAAAAATTCCAAGTGTAACCACTTGAGAATTGTTCCCTGGGACTTTAAATGATAGATAAAAGTAATATTAAGCTGTTAAAAACTAATCTTTAAGGCACTATCTAAAAAGCTTGTTTATATAAATAATTTAATATTTAGTTTTACTTAAAAAATAGATTAAAGAACATTTTTTTTCTGAGCTCTTTGCTCACTTCGGAGAGAAGCATAATTCGAGCGACCGTTTAAAAGAAGCTGATGAAGATCAGGTTCTCAGTGAAAGTAAGCATACATCTAAAATTTTTGACTGTACACTTAATTTATAGGTGAATAGTCTTGTGTTTTCTAGGATAATCAGGTTTTATAAATAATTCACAGCCACTTCAACCTATAATGTTCAATATACAATAACTGACAGGGGAAAAATCTTTACTAAAGTTAACAAAATGTACAGACCTGACATCATTTATCTTATTCTATATTATGCGTATAAATTACTAGTGACAACGGTGTAAATGGAACTCGAATACAATGCAGTTAAAACTGTATAAATATTTTTTGAAAATTATTTTTTGATTTACACAGGAAAATGGAGCTCTGGAATACTCTATATTCCCTAATTTTATTCATAGTCACAGCTCTTTTTCGCTATAAATATTTATTTTGTATAGGATAAACTTAAGATAATATATTTGTATTTCA